TGGCACCTCTGCTGCAACTGACCGAGGGGAAGGGTTTCGTAATACTTGACGAAGTCCCAAAGAAGATTGGCTGACGTATGATCTCTGGCAACTTCACCCTCGGCTCGGAGCAGCTGACGCCACGCAGTGCCCCCAGCGCGCGTGAAGCTTCCCGCGGCAAAGTAGGGTCGAGCGTTCCGCTTCCCCCACTCGTTGGCAATATGCCTTCTGGCCTTTGCCCAAACACGGTAAGGGGCACAAAACACACCAATCGGACGGACGCCCACGGGGACCCTGGGAATAAGATACATTAAACCGACCGCAATCTGCGCGGGAAGAAGCCCAGAGGTTTCCATGACCTGAAAAATGGACAGCAAGGCGCTCGAACCTTGATCAGACAACCAACCAAAGTGTCTGATGTGGAAACCGTCAGAGGCCACCGCCGAGCGCTCTTTGTGCCGAAGGCACAGATTTCGAACCGTATCCAGCTCGAGTGGCGGCAAGGGAGGGGCGGGGGTAAACGACGCCGGGGTATGGGGTGGGGGAGGGGGCAGCTCTCCACAGCCCAACGTGCCTGGAAGTTTCGAATTGCATGATGCTTAAGGGATCACTCACCACCTTGCCGTCGCAAGAGAGCACGGTGGTAGGGTGCCAGGGGGTGGGGGCCTTAGAAGCCAGGTGAGCATTTCGCCCTCCTTGGTCAATCCCTTTCAAGAGCCAACTCCCCCATCCCTGCGAAGCCTCCTGTCGAGTCTTCTTGAGGGCCGAATCCAGGGCCTCGCGGACGGTGGACCGAAAACCATTGATGCCACTCTCTAATCCTTCACGGAGGGCGTTGATAGTGTCAGCGGAGCGGTGACGCCAATTCCAAAACTCACGGAAGAGATGCCCGTGGTCTCCCGCGCGCTTGCTGACAGCCAGGGGAATAGCAAACACGTAGGAAATGGCGTCCGAGAGGCCGCCCTGGTCGGGGTGCTGAATGGCAGACTCAAGCATGCCCGTGGCCTTCCAAAGCCAACGGATGGAAAGCAGCTCGGGGTGTCTGGAAGGCTTCGCGTCTTTCGCCGCGACCGAAGACCAAACCAAAGATGGGGGGGCCCCACGGGAACCAGGGTCCTTCAAATCAACTCCCGCCGCTTCCGCAATCTCCTTTTCCGCCAGGTCCGCCCAGAGTTGGTAGGATGAGGTGAGGGGAGATTGGGTGGCGGGGCCGTCGCCACGGTGAGCCGCCTCAAGGGCCTCCGCGATCCGCGCCTGAGTGGAACGGTAGTCAGGGGCCTCACGCAGAGGACCGATCATCCGAACGGCGGGGAACCGAGCGGGTCGCTTCAAACTGAGGGATCTCAATTTGCCGAACTGAGGGAAGAGAGTGAGCCGAACGGGCCAATGGGGCGAAACATCCCCATCGGAGATGCGATCCAAGGCCTGGGCGGCGGAACTTAGCCCAGGACTGGCGATAAAGTAATCGTTCATCCTCACCCCTCCCGTGGTGAAGCAGGTGCCCGAACAACCTGGAAACATAATAATGCCCCCACTCTGCTGGTGAAAACTCTGCTCGTGTAAATCACTCGGGGGGTTGTTGAAATCCCCACCGATGACCACGGTAAGCATGAACTGGAAGCAGCCAATCCCGCGTCGGACAGGAGATGCTGATTCTTGGAGTCGAAACCACTGCCGTCATAAAGGTAAACCGAGGTAACACAGACTTCAGTGCCACCTGGGATGCCCACGATGCCCGAGATCACCCTGGAATCTTGGGCCCCTTGAACTGGATTGAGGTGGGGGCCTAGGAAGTCTCTCACGAAGATCGCCACTCCGCCAGTACTCCCAGAACCTTCCCCAGGGGCCGCAGGGCCCCAAATACCTCGCCAACCTCGCCGACTCGACCAGGCACTAGCTTTGTGGATCCCCTCCCCAGCCAGAATGTGGTGCTCTTGCATAAGCACAACATGGGCAGAAGTACCATCAAGATACTTCTGACCAGTCCCCCACCCTGAAACGTTGGCCGTTTCAAAACTCAGGGCTAAAGAGGAGGACTGATCCTGGCGAGAAGGAGGAGGAGGATCCGCTGGAGGGGAGGGGGTGCCCGGCCCCTGGGCCCTGGTGTCTAGCCGAGACGATCCCAGGAGGTCCTGGGCCAAGATCCTAGTCCAGGTGAGCTTAGACCAACATGAGTTTATAGTAGGCCCTTGGCCGAAGTACGTGAAATCAGGGAACAAAAGCCCCCCCCCTTCGGGCGCCTGCGGGCCGTTAGGCGCTCGCGGCGCCTTCGGGGGGGGTTATTCTTAATGATGGCAGCTGCTGCCTCACGGGTGGCGCGGCGGGCCGCCGCCTCTGCGTCGGCAGGGGGGCCTGTCTGGGCCGTGGTTCCACCGCTGCACCCAGCGCCGCTCTCAGGAGCAGGAGGTTCGCCGCGCCCATCTGCATCCGCAGCGCCTCCCTCGCCTCCAGGGGCGACAACTGGGTCCTCGGACCCCCCTGCTCGACGCTTCTTCTGAAGCCGATTGATGAGCTCCGAACGTTCTGACTTGAATGCCTTGACCTTTTCCGACGCCTCGCCGAAGAGGTTGACAACCGCTGCGCGAATCTCCGACTGAAGGTGCTCCAGACGCTGCTTGGCCTCCTTCTGGGTGACCTCGTCAACTTCATACTCGTCTGACAAATTTCCAGCAAGCGATCCCAAAGAAATAAGTAGCTCCGTGACAGCTCCCGAGATAATATCGTCGATGCTGATGACCGAAGGTGGTGGAGCAGCTCCACCCGTCTTCTCATTGAGAATGCGAACCAGCCTTGTGTGCTCTGCCTCCGCGGCGTCCAGCTCACCAGTGACTTTCTGCACCCAGTCGAGCTGTGACTGAAGCTGCTCTTGAAGTCGCTGATGATGCGAGACCGCCTTGGACAGCTTCGCCTCCAAGCTGCGGACTGAGTTGAAGGCGTTGGAGACTTGCTGCTGGAGCGTCGGTTCATGAGCGGCGCTGGCCGCCTGAGCCTTTCTTTGCTCCAGCACCCTCTGGTAGCCCTTGGCCCCGTCGACGTCGCCGACCTTGTTGAGTGCCTCGATGGTCTGCTGGATGTCGCCGAGGGACACATTGGCGGCGAGCTTGGGCAGCAGCGTCGGGCCATTGGTGGACATGAACTGCGGCCCTGGACGGACTGGCAGCGCACCGCCAGGAGGAGGGGGCACAGCACCAGGAGGGCCACCGGACGGCGGCAGTGGCGGGGGGGGGCACGTAGCCTTTCCACCCAGCTCCCCCCCAGCCGCCGCTCCAGTCGTGGCCGTTCCCGCCGCGCTCCGTCTGCTGGCTCCAGTGGCGGTGGTGGTCCGAAAACGATCCTGGAGCGCCCCAAGCCCATTGCCCACGAGGAGCCTGGCCACCTTCAACGGGCGAGACATCGCGGCGGGGGCCGTGACAATGCTTGCAATGACGCCAGCGCCCCAGGTTACGCTTGCAGCCACAACTCTGACAGGTCCAGCGCGGAAGCGCATCCTTGCTGGGGGCCATGGAACGTATCCTTTGGAAGTGATCTTACCCTCGTTAACCGCCGATGGGCGGCTCTCAAGCTAGCACAATAAATGGTACAGCAAGGGCAAATGGCCGAAGACTCCTCAAAAGAGTTCGAGCCAAAACAGCTTGAGTCGGTGCCACCCCTCACGCAGATCCGCGGGGTCAGGGTCCAAAAACACATGGGATTTGCCACATTTTTGAAATTCGGTACCACCCCTCACGCAGATCCGCGGGGTCCGGGTCCAAGAACACAAAGGATTTGCCACATTTCTGAAATTCGGTGCCACCCCTCACGCAGATCCGCGGGGTCAGGGTCCAAAAACACAAGGGATTTGCCACATTTCTGAAATTCGGTGCCACCCCTCACGCAGATCCGCGGGGTCAGGGTCCAAAAACAAAAGGGAGTTGCCACATTTCTGAAATTCGGTGCCACCCCTCACGCAGATCCGCGGGGTCAGGGTCCAAAAACACAGGGGATTTGCCACATTTCTGAAATTCGGCGCCACCCCTTACGCAGATCCGCGGGGTCAGGGTCCAAAAACACAAAGGATTTGGCACATTTCTGAAATTCGGTGCCACCCTCACGCACATCCATCGCAAGGCGTGGTAACCCAAACTGCGAGACCTCCCTCGGCCCTTTAATCGCAAGGTGTGGTAACCAAGCCCGTAAACCATACACGTCTTACCAATCGCCAGGTGTGGTAACCCCTCTTGTGATCAGTTGGTTCTGCTGATTGCGAGTCGGCTTCGCATGAAGTTTCGATACTGCTTCACGACAGCGCCAAGGCCTCATGACTTAGCTCTTCCATGGCCCATTCTCCGAGAGAGGGGGCCGGCGGCAGGGGGCGAAACCCTTACGGATAATTACAATTTTCATCTGCTCGTGTAGGGGAGCTCATGTGCTTAGTTTTCCCGGGGTAATCAACCCCAGCGATAAACAAGTTCAGGGCGCCAGGGGGAGGAGAAGAAGAGAGAGAGAGAGAGAGAAAGAGAGAGAGAGAGAGACAGAGAGAGAGAGAGAGAAAAGAGAGAGAGAGAGAGAAAGAGAGAGAGAGAACAGAAACAGAAACTAAGAGAGAGAGAGAGAGTTCAAAACTTCCTTCTTATGTTGTTATCTCAACATAAGAAGGAAGTAACCTCGATGGCGAACTTTCCCCGTGATAATGAAGTTCGGCCTCCGCGCCCTCCGCCTCTATTTGAAAACCGTCGAGGCCGAGGATAAAAAACTCAAACTACTTAAGGGGGGGTACTTTATTATCGTGGGTTCGGGGTTATACTTTTCCTTCTCCCCCCCACATTCCCCTCCTTCCGCTCCTCTTCCCCCTCCTCCCTCCTCCTCATTCTTCTCCTCCTCCTCCTCCTCCTCCTCCTCCTCCTCCTCCTCCCCCTCCTCCTCCTCCTCCTCCTCCTCCTCCTCCACCACCTCCACCTCCTCCTCCTCCTCCCCCTGCTTCCCCTTCTCCTCCCCCTCTCCCCTCTCTCTGTCCTCCTCCCTCCTCCCTTCCCCTGGGGCACTCTTCCTTGTTGCTGAAAGGCCAGACCTCATCCCTGGCCAGCGCGGTTGTGCCGGGGGCAAGAAGGGCGCGCCCATCCCACCCATGGGGGGGGTAGGGTACATGGGGAGGAGGAAACAGGAAGAGAAGGCCTGACGCTCCGAGCTCTGACGAGCTCGACAGCTTGCCTGAGGAACAGGAGGAGAGGGAGGACCAGAGCAGACCCGAGATGCACCGACGATGCTGCAGTGCGCCTCCTAGCACCCAGTGAACAAAAACTCCTCCTCCTCCTCCTCCTCCTCCTCCTCTTCCTCTCCTCGTCCTCCTCCTCCTCCTCCTTCCTCCTCCTCCTTCCTCCTCCTCCTCCTCCTCCTCCCTCCTCCTCCCTCTCTTCTCCTCCCTCCTCCTCCTCCCTCCTCCTCCTTCCTCCTCCTCCTCCTCCTCCTCCTCCTCCTCCTCCTCCTCCTCCTCCCTCTTCCTGCTCCTCCTCCTCCTCCTCCTCCCTCCTCCTCCCTCCTCCTCCTCCTCCTGGGATGTTTTTTTTTCACTGGGCGCGGCGCCTCCCCCGGAGAGGCGGGCGCCCCGTGGGCCCCAGAACTCTAGGCGGGAACTCCGCTTTTTGGTGGACCCGTCGTCTACCACCACCACCACAGGTTGGGAGGGGGGAAGGAGGAGGAGGAGGAGGAGGAGGAGGAGGAGGAGGAGGAGGAGGAGGAGGAAGGAGGAGGAGGAGGAGGAGGGAGGAGTAGGAGGAGGAGGAGGAGGAGGGAGGTGGAGGTGGAGGGCGGAGGAGGAGGAGGAGGAGAGGAGGAGAGGAGGACGAGGAGGGAGGAGGAGAGAGAAGGAGGACGAGGAGGAGAAGGAGGAGGAGGAGGAGGAGGTGAAGGAGGAGGAGGAGGTGAGGGGAGGAGGAGGGAGGAGGAGGAGGAGGAGGAGGAGGGGGAGGAGGAGAGGAGGAGGAGGAGGAGGAGGAGGAGGAGGAGGAGGGAGGAGGCGGGGACGGAGGAGGACGATGAGGAGGAGGAGGAGGAGGAGGAGGAGGACGAGGAGGAGGAGGAGGACGAGGAGGAGGAGGAGGAGGAGGAGGACCCTCTCCCCCTCCAACTTATGGTGGTGGTGGTGGTGGAAAACAAGCCCATCAGAGAGTGCCAAGGTGGGCTTGAAAGCCGAGGCAAGCGCCCAGCGACGATCCCGCTTTGACGAGGAGCCACCCCGCATCCGAGCTGCTGCGCGCGATCATGCAGCCACGCGGCCTCGAGCGAGAGCCCCGTGGTGGCACGGAATCGCCCTCCATCCGTGTAATGGTTGTACCATGTTACGCCTGCGGCCCGCCAGCTCCGCTCAGACGCGCCTGCGTTCACCAGCGCTGTCGATCGAACATCTCTCGAGGGAGCATGTAGCTGCTGGAAGTTGTCAAAACGCATCTGTGCGGCGCTACAGTGGGAGCCACACCTCAAAAACGACTGCCCCCTGGAACTGTTAGCGACTTTTAGAATGACTGAGTGTGGCGCTACGGCGAATCACATTTTGAAAACCGCTGGCCCCACATCCGTGTATATACAGTTGGAGAGTGATAAGCTTCGAGATAGTACCTTGAAAAGCATTCGCGAGCCAAACACCAAGTCCGGTCATCGGACACGTCTGGTGGCGGCAGGGAGGAGTTACTAAGGAGAAGGAGGAAGGTGATGGCGAAGGAGGAAGACCAAGAGGAGCCAGACGGAGGAAATAAGAGGAGTGGGAGCAGGAGGGAAGGAGGAGGAGGCGTGACGGGAGGATTCGGGGGAGGAGAATGAGGATGAGGATGAGGATGAGGATGAGGATGATGATGATGAGGAGGAGGAGGAGGAGGAGGCTCCAGACATCTGACTCTCGACCAGAGATCTCGATCCCGTCCACAGGACCTGTGCTCCATCTCGAGTCGCTCCTTGGCGGCCATTGGGCCCAAAATAGACGCCATGGGCACCAACAGTGACAAAGATCTGGCCGTGGGGAGGACGCTCGCGCGGAGGACAAGGAGAAGGGAGAGAGATGACGAGGAGGACACGTTTGCTGCTTTGCTGCTTGCAATTGCACGGCTGTCTCATTGCTCGGCTCGTATGCTGGCGCAGCGGACAAGCGTTCAAGGCACGATCAGAGAAACAGGAGGACCAAGAGAATAAACACTCCCCCACAGTGCTTGCGCTGTGGGGTTCTTGACTTGGTTCCTTGATGGGCTTCCCTGGGAAAGGAGGAGAAGGAGGAGGAGGAGGAGGAGGAGGCGGAGGGAAGGAGCAGCAGGACGAGGAGGAGGAGGAGGAGGAGGAGGAGCAGGAGAAGGATGAGGAAAACGATGATGATGACGAGGAGGATGAGGAGGAGGAGCAGCAGGAGGAGGAGGAGGAGGTGGAGGAGGAGGAGAAGGAGGAGGAGGAGGAGGAAACGCAGCAGCAGGACGTGTAGGAAGAGAACTACGGGGAGGAGGAGGAGGAGGAGGAGGAGAGGAGGAGGAGGAGGAAGAACAGAGGGAGGAGGATGTGGAGAAGGAGGAAGACATGGAGGAGAAGGAGGAAGAAGAGGAGGAGGGAGGAGGAGGCAGAGGAGGAGGAGGAGGAGGAGAAGGAGAAGCAGGAGAAGCAAGAGGAAGCAGAAACGGGGGAGGAAGAGAAGGAAGATGAGGAGGAGGCGGAGGGGGGGGGAGGAGGAGGGGGAGGAGGAGAACGGGAATAGGAGGCGGAAGCGGAGGAGGAGGAGGAGGAGGAGGAGGAGGAGGAGGAGGAGGAGAAGGAAGAGACCGAGGATGACGATGAGCATGAGGAGGATGAAAAGGAGGACGAGGAAGAAGAGGAGGAGGCGGAGGAAACGGAAACGGGGGAGGACGAACAACACGATGAGGAGGAGGAGGCGGAGGATGAGGAGGAGAGGGAGGATGGAGAACAATGGAGAAGGAGGAGATGGCGGAGGATGAGGAGAAGGAGGAACACGATGCGACACAACAACAGGAGGAGGAGGAGCAGAAATAGGAGGAGAAAGGGGCGGAAGAGGAGGACGAGGAGGGGGACGATGGGTAGGAGGAAGAAGAGGATGATGATGACGACGCGGATGATGAGGACGCGGAGGGGGAGGAGAGGGAGATGGGGAGGAGGAGAAAACGGATCGGGAGGCGGAGGAAGGTGACACTAGCTGGATGAACGGAATGAGGATGATGAGGAGGAGCAGGAATTAGAGGACGAGCACGTGGAGGCGGAGGCGGATAAGGAGGATAGGGCGAATAAAGATGATGATGATGATGTTGATGATGATGCTGATGATGATGACGCTGCTGATGATGATGATGCCGATGATGATGATGATGATGATGATGGTGATGATGATGATGATGATGATGATGATGATGATGCTGATTATGCTGATGATGCTGATGATGATGATGCTGATGATGATGCTGATGATGCTGATGATGCTGATGATGATGCTGTGCTGATGGATGCTTGATGATGCTGATTGATGGATGATGATGGATGATGATGTTGATGATGATGCTGATGATTCTGATGATGATGAGGAGGAGGATGAGGATTAGGATGACGATGAGGATGGGGATGAGGATGATGATGATGATGATGATGATGATGATGATGATGATGATGATGATGATGATGATGAGGATGATGATGATGAGAGGGGGGTGATGAGGAGGCGGAGAAGAATCCCACCAGCCCTTTGGGCGTGAGTGGTTTAGCGAGCTCTCTCTGTTCTCACCCCCCCCTTCTTCCCCTTCGGGGAGGGGTTTACCCCTCCCCCTACCCCCTCCCCCTGGACCTGGAGAGGGCGGGCCGAACGTCGTCAGGGGGGGTCTTTTTTGACTCCTGGAAGGGCCAACAAACGACGACCCTCACGAGGATTCTGGCTCCGACGGGGGGGGGGGGGGGGGGCACCTTGGCCCCCTCTGCTCTTTTAAAACCAAAATCATTGATTTTACTACGGTTTTGGCCTCATTGTGGCGTTCTGAGGCGGCCGCGCTCATCTTCCTTCATAGCAAATTCATTGATTTTACGGAGGGTTTGGGCTCATTTTGTTCTTTTCAGGGGGCAGCTCTCATTGGCGCTTCTGAGGAGGTCGCAAGAGGCCCCAAGATGGCCTCCAGAGGCTCCCAGGAGGCTCCCAAGATGCCTCCCAGAGGCCCCCCAGAGGCCCCCAAGCGGCCCCAAGAGGCCCCCAAGAGGCCCCCAAGAGGCCCCCAAGAGGCCTCAAGAGGCCCCAAGAGGCCCCCAAGAGGCTCCCCAAAGGCCCCCAAGAGGCCCCCAAGAGGCCCCAAGAGGCTCCAAGAGGCCCCCAAGAGGCCCCACGAGGAGCCCGAACGACTCACACCAGGACGAGGGGCCCGAACGACTCACACCACGAAGAGCCCGAACGACTCACACCACAAGGAGGGGCCCGAACGACTCACACCTAAATCCCTCTTGCCTCCCACCGCTTTCTCTCCCTCCTCCTCCGCCTCGTCCTTCTCCCGCTCCCACCACAAGGAGGATGTACAAGGAGGCGGGAGGAAGGAGGAACAGGGGAGATATGCGGGGGCAGGCGGAAACACGCCTGAAAGACACGACTGTCGGCATGCTTCGCAAGAGTTGCTGTTTTGAGATGGGCTGGTGGGGATACGCGAAGCGTGAAGAATTATGATGATGAGGAAGATGATGAACATGATGAGGAGGCGGCGGCTGCTGAGGAGGGGGCGGGGAAGACGGATGAGGACGACGAGACATAGGAGGAGGGCGAGGAGGAGGATGCTGAGAGGAATGAGGGGGATGATGAGGATTAGGAGGATGAACACACGGGAGGAAGAGACAGAGGAGGAAGAGACACGAGACGAGGAGGCGGAGGAGGAGGAAGACGAGGATGAAGGCGACTATGACGAAGAGGAGGATGATGACGAGGAGGAGGAGGAGGAGGAGGAGGAGGATGCGACATACTCTGAGACGGAGGAGGAGGAGGCGAGGAGGAGGAAGAGGAGGAGGATTAGGAGGAGGTGGGGGGGGAGGAGGAGGAGGAGGAGGGAGGAGGAGGAGGAGGAGGAGGAGGAGGAGGAGGAGGAGGAGAAGAAGGGGCAGGAGGAGGAAAAGGAGGAGGAGGAAGTAGAGGAGGAGGATGAGAAGGAGGAAGGCGAGTATGAGGAGACGGAGGAGCATGAGGACGAGGAGGAGAAGGAGGAGAAGGAGGATGAGGAGGAGCACAGCGAAGGACTAGTAAACGGAGGAGGATGAACAACAGCGGAACGCGAGGAGGATGAGGAGGAAACGGGGGGGGATGATGAGGAGGATGAGGATGAGGAGGAGGAAGAGGAGGAGGAGGAGGCGGAGGAGGAGGAGGAGAGGGAGGAAGAGGAGGAGGATGAGGAGGAGGAAGAGGAGGAGGAGGAAGAGGAGGAGAAGGAGGAGGAGGAGGTGGAGGAGGAGGAGGAGGAGAAAGAGGAGGAGGGAGGAGGAGGGAAAGGATGAGGAGGAGGCGGAGGCGGAGGAGGTGGATGAGGAGGAGGGGGAGGAAGATGAGGATGAGGATGAGGATGAGGATGATGATGCTGATGCTGATGGTGATGCTGCTGATGACGACGATGACGACGATGATGATGCTGATGATGATGCTGATGATGATGATGCTGATGATGATGCTGATGATAATGATGATGCTGATGCTGCTGCTGATGATGATGAGGAGGATGAGGAGGAGCAGAGGAGGAGGAGGACGAGGACGAGGTCGAGACGGAGGAGGACGAGAAGAATCATAATAAGAAGAATAAGAAGAAGAGGAAGGGAGGATTGGGAGAAAGGGAGGAGGATGAGATGAGGGAGGAGGAGGAGGAAAAGGAGGAGGAAGAAAATGAGTACGATGATGCTGATGATGCTGCTGCTGATGATGATGATGATGATGATGATGATGATGATGATGATGATGATGATGAAGAAGAGGAGGAGGAGGAGGAAGAGGAGGAGGAGGAAGAGGACAAGGAGGAGGAGGAAGAATAGGAAGGGAGGGAGGAGGAGGAGGAGAATGATGAGATGAGGAGGAAAAAAAGGTGGAGCAGGGAGGAGCAAAGCGGAGGAAATAAAAAGGAGGAGGAGCTGCACGAGGAGCACAAATTGGACGGTGGAAGAGAGGAGGAGGAGGAGGAGGGAGGAGGAGGAGGAGGAGGAGGAGGAGGGGAGGAGGAGGAGGAGGAGGAGGAGACAGTGCAAGGAGGAGGAGAGAACCAAAAAAACACAACACGAATAGCCCCCCCCCACACCCCCGTGGACACGCGCGCCCTTCCTGCCTCCCGGGGCTGCGTTCTGCGCCTCCGCGCCGGCGGGCCTCTGCACGGCAGCCGCCGGGCTCGGCGGCCGCCGCTCCGTGGCGTTCGGCTCCCCGCGCCGCCGCTCGCCTCCTGCGGCGCCGCCGCCTTCGCCGCCGCCTCCCCCTCCTCCTCCTCCTCCTCCTCCTTCCTCCTCCTCCTCCTCCTCCTCCTCCCCCTCCTCCTCCTCCTCCTCTCCTTCCTCCTCCCTTCCTCTTTCCTCCTCCTCATCTCATTCTCTGCTTTCCGTCTTTCTCCTTCTCCCCCCTACATTCCCCTCCTTCCGCTCCCTCCGCCCCCCTCGCCGCCGCCCGCCGTCGCCGCCGTCGAAATACACCGCTGCCGTCGCCACTGCCGCCGTCCTTGTCGTCGTTCGTCGTCGTCGTCGTCGTCGTCGTCGTCGTCGTCGTCGTCGTCGTCGTCGTCGTCGTCGTCGTCGTCGTCGTCGTCGCCGTCGTCGCCGCCCTCGTCGTCGCCGCCGCCGCCGTCGTCGCCGCCGCCGCCGTCATCATCGGAGTCGTCGTCGCCGTCCTCGCGACGAGGAGGGCGAGGATCTGCCAGGACATTGAGGGTGAGGGGGAGGAGGAGGAGCCACCCCGCTGAAAGAGACGAGACGGGGGCCGGCGGGCAGGAAAGCGAGGAGAGGACAGCTCGTCCAGATACCCACGCACGCCGGCCGCGGACCGAAAAGAGGCAGCAGGGTCGGCGGAGCCAAAAGTGACAGCGGAAACGGCGGACCGAAAAGCGGCAGCTGATGCGTCGGACCGAGCAGTGGCAGCGTCGCTGCCCGCCCTGCTGGCGAGCCTGCCCATCCAGAGGCGCGGGGCGCCTGACAGGGAAGCGCGGACAGGGAAACGCGGGGCAACATCACGTGCAAGGTGAACGCGATGTCGGGGCGGGCCGCACGCTTGCGGAGGGCTTGGAAGGAGGAGTGGCGGAGACTTGGAGCAGCGGAGAACCAGACAAACGAGCCGGAGGAAGAGATATCCACGTGGTGGGGAAGGAAGCGCACGAGTGGATCATAACCAGATTCACGAGGAAAATGGGCAGCCACCGACGAATAGCGGACTTAACAGCAGAACTCTCTAGATTATGTAACACACAGTCTCCGCCCACCGCAGGGCATCCATACTGACAAGATGTAGCGCTCTGTCTGAGTCGCATCATCTGTAAAAAGAGAGCCGATCCAATGGCCACCCGAAGCATAGCAGCATGGCTGGCGGCATGCGAAGATCTCGAGTGTTCACAGGGTGTCTAAAACCTGCGAAACAGAACAACTGCTTAAGCGGCACAGAATGTCGCGGAGCCTGCGCGAACAGCTGGTCTCTCTGTTTCACCATTCGCAGAGCAAGGTCTGAATAAGAGTGGCATTGAGCTACATAACCTGTCACGGTTAATGGTATCGATTATGAGCGACGACCGACAATGTAAATCCAACCCCACATACGTTGAATTCGTGTAGCACGCTGGTACATGTTGACGGCGACCCGTTTCCAACACGTCTCCAGCCCCTTCAGCATTGAATGTGCACTGCCGGAAACGGCGGATAGCTTGAGGAACCGCGGCGGGGTCCAGGAGCAAGATGACACACCTCTCTGTGTTTCAGACCAGGCCCGTACATGCACTTGCCGGACAAGCCTCGCGGGCGACGACAGGGAACGCCTGAGCTATGTCTGGAAACGCTAAGGCCGAGTCGTCAACGCACGCTGACCAAGAGACTGGCTTGCCGTCGCTCGGACGTCCGTTTCCCGTGCACTGTTCGGTTTCGTGCGCGTTTTTTTTGCTCGATGGTCCAGGATGGTCCTCGATGGCTCTCGCCGAAAAAAATGCACACGTCCGAGCGATGCCAGGCTGGGTTACTGAGACCATGGCACTTCCTCTTGACCGACAGCGGGTGGAGGGCCAAGGCGAAGCTGGCACCTGCGAGCGGGCAGCCTCGCTTGATCCCCCCCGCTCCTCGTGACACCATCGAGTCTTGGAGCCTTGATGTGAATGTGGTGCCTGGCAGTGGCACATCCTTTCTGAACGACCCGAGTCGCGAACCAGGGAAACCCGAACGTGTCCAACGCGGGAACAATGCCCAGTGACGTATCCAACCCTTTTCTAAACACACGGCGAACATACATACATATACATATATACATATATAAATGGTTTTATGTACTTTGTTATATCGATGTGTATATATATGTATATATATATAGATGGGACCGCTCACTGCAAACAAGCATGTTGAAGGACCCGCACTGCGCAGAAGCCCCAGGAAGTGCGCGAGAGAGCACGCAGGAACCAACAGGGCAGAGACGGAGACAGAGGCATCCAGAGGGGTCCGAAGCAGGGACGCACATGTCCAGAAGCAGCAGCAGCGCCGAGCGCTGCACACGCTGGATAAAAGAGAGCGGCGCCACGCGCCCGCTCTCCATAGCAGACCCGCGCGTCGCGTCGAGCGAAGCAAGCGCGCGGGGCGGCATGGCGGGCCAGAGGCAGCCGAGGATGGGAGGCCACGCGTTTATTATAATTATTATTAATACTATTATTATTATTATTATTATTATTATTATGTAACCTATTATTTAAATTGTATATGGATATGTACATATTATACACACAAGACTGCAGTGGCGCTTCGCGCCATGCACCTTGGTCCTTGAAGCTTGGCGTGCAGGCGGGATAGCAGGAAGGTCAAGCCGGCTATTTAGCGATAACTCCTTGTTGCCTTTTCTGGCATCGCCGCTATAATAATGCTATTCGTTCTCCTTCCTCCATGCTTCTGTTTTCCTTATTTTTGCCACACCCTTCGCATTCTCCCCATCCTCCTCAGCTCTTTTTGCGGAGTCTCCTCCTTGGAGAACCTCTGGGGGCCTCACAAAAGTTGTGTCAGGCGTTCTTGAGGCCTTCTGGAGGCCTCCTGGGCGTATTGTGGGGGCCTCTGAGGGCTTCCTCGGGCCACCCTGCCTCCAACCGCGGTCTCCCTGAACGACCGGGTCACGATTTGGAATGCTTCGGAAGGTGTCTTTGTGCCATCTTGGGCCGCCATGGGGCTCTCTGAGGGCCATCTTGGACCCGTGTTGTGCCGTTTTGGGGCTCACTTGGACTGCCTGGAAACCCTTTTTTCGGATGGTTGTAGGGCGAGTTTGGAGCCTCCCAGGCGGCTTCGGACGCCCAGAAAACCGTCGTCTCTGAGCGTCGGGAAGCCAAAAAGAGGATAACCCAAAAATTCACCAACAACCCGCAGAAAATCAATGATTGTTGCCTTTGGGGGCCTTCTTGGGAGTGCTCTTGGAAGCCTCTTTGGGGCCGTCCTGGAGGCCTCTTGGGCCATCTTGAGGTCACGTCGGTCACTCTTGGAGCGCTCTTGTGCTGTCTTGGGGGTCTCTGGGACGTCTCCGATGACCCCCCTGATCGCCCTAGGTGTGCTGGGAAGGCTTGTCAAAACGCCCTGCGAAGACAGGGGGCCGCTTCGAGGCCCGTCCGGAGGGTCCCCCAGCCCCAGATCCCGGGAGTCCGTTTTTTTTTTGGGGGGGGGACGGGTTTTCCCCCCGCCCGGGCTTGTAAAGATATAAGAAGAGGAACATAACAACAAACAAAAAACAGCGCCACGCGCTGCGTGGCGCAACGGCCCCCTGCGAGCTGCGATGCGACAGCGCCGAGCGCTGCGTGACGGGACAGCGCCCCGCGCGCGTCCCTCGACGCCGCTGGACCTCCCAAGCGCCCACCCAGACATCCTGGTGCGTGGACCCCAGAGGTCCCGACCACTTCCCCGGCTACCCGTTTTCCGCCCCGAATCGTTTTTTGACGCTCCCGAGGCCCGGCGAGGGTTCCCGGAGGCCGAAGACTGCCAAAATCCCGCCGCTCCAATTTTTTGTTGGAGCGTCGGATCCCAGGGCGCAAAAGTGGCAACGGTGCCGAACTTCGCCGCCCCCACACCCCCCATGCCAGGGAAGCCGCGAGGTCCCAGAGAGACCCCGACCTCCCAGGAGCCCACGGAAGTGGGCGACAGCTGCGCGCGTCGCAGCTCCCCAGGGAGCCGCGAGGTCCCTGCTGGATCCCCGCGCAGCTCCAGCCCGCGCGACTTCCCAGGAGCCCACGGACATAGCGACAATTGCGCACTTCGCAGCCCCCCAGGGAAGAAGCGAAGTCTCAAGCGGATTCCCGTACGTCGTGTCGTGCCGACTTCTGCGTTGGTTTCTGACACCGCGGGGATCGTTCAGCCTTGAACGATCGGCCGTTTCCGAAACGTACATCGAAAGATTCTGGGTCGCCCGCAGCGTTCAACGTTGAACGCCGCTGGCGGGGTCGCCGCCGGTCGACACGACGCGAACCTACCGTACAACTCGAAGCCGCGGGACCTCCCAGGAGCCCACGAAAACCGACGACGGCCGCGCCCAAACCCCCCAACGAGTTGCCGAGGCCCCAACTCGATCCCCGTGCAACTCCACTCCGCGCGACCTCCCAGGAGCCCACGGAAGTGGCAAGAATCTCAGACTCCGCAGCCCCCTAGGCTGGCCATCGCTCGGACGTCCATTCCCTGTGTTTTTTGACGGTTTCGTGCGTGGCTTTTTTCGCCAAATGATCAAGGATGTTCCTAGAGGGTCCTCGCCGAAGGAAAAATGCACACGTCCGAGCGATGCCAAGTAGGGAGCCGCGAGGACCCAGCTAAGTTCCTGTGCAACTCCACTCCGCGCGACCTCCGAGGAGCCCGTGAACGTCCTTCCGCACTTCGCTTTCATTCCACTGCGCTCAGCCTGGCATCGCTCGGACGTCCATTCCCTGTGCTTTTTTTCGGTTTCGTGCGTGGTTTTTTTCGCCAAATGATCAAGGATGCTCCTCGATCGCCCTCGCCGAGAAAAAATGCACACGTCCGAGCGATGCCAGGTCAGAGAGCCGCGAGGCCCCGGTTCCATCCGCGTGCAGCTCCACGCTGCGAGACCTCCCAGAAGCCCGGCGACAGCAACGCCAGCTTCGCACTGCCCAGTCCCCCAGGGAGCCGCGAGGTCTCAGCTGGACCTCCGTGCAACTCCACGCCCGCGCGACCTCCCAGGAGCCCAGGAAAGTGGCGACGCTGCCACACTTCGAAGCCTCCCCAGGGAGCC